AAAAAAAAAAAAAAAAAAAAAAAAGTTTCCTCTCTGCGAGGCGAAACTTCCTTATCGAAGAAACGCTCCACGTGTCCGTGTTCGTTCGCGAGTATACGTACCTTAACATCTTAACAACATCTTAATAGTAAATCTTGGTACACAAGCGACGGATTACAATCATCGTACGTATATTACACGCCACCACGTTCCTCGTCGATTACTCTTCTTTGTATAAATACTTATTATCTGCTTAGACGCTACTCCTTTCGTTTCAATCGTCGTGCCTTTTGCAAAGTCGCAAGTACGGATTTCATAAATAACCAAGTGTACGGATGAAACGAAGTACGACCAAAGAAAACAATTGTACATACGTACTTGTCTCGTTTATGTTTATCGACGACGTTCGTCTACGAAAATACATATTCATTTTTCCCTTACGCAATATCTTGGCTCGATCGTCATTCGTGAACGTATTGCTACAACGGAGGATCCTTTTGGAAGGAACAACGATCGAAACAAGAAAGAAAATAGTATCGGTAGTAGTATCAGTAGTAATAGTAGTGTAGTAGTATCAGTAGCAACAGCGATACAAGTAGTAGTAATAATAGTAGTAGTAGTAGTAGTAGTAGTAGTAATAGTAATAGTAATAGTAGCGAGAGTAGTAGCAATAGTAACAATAATGATGATAATCGTAAGAGAAAAAACAAAAAGGACGCTCGTTCACAACGAATCGGTGGGAAACCCATTGACAGGTTTCCCGGCGTTTTTCAACCTTTCGTTTGCTTAATTTTCATCGTTCGCCGTTACCCATCACTCGATAATGGTAATATCTTGTACACAGAGTATTCTTATAATAAAGTGAAATCGTCTTCGACTCGCGTGTATCGTTCTCCTTCAAACTTTAGTCTTTCAACCTCGCTTGGTTTCAACGTTAACGAGCCTGTTCCGAACCAAGTAAGAGCACGGCAGAGAGGAAGAGCGTTGGACACCCGATAACCGTGAAAAACGAGCAACGTCGATCTCTTCTTGGGTGACGCCTGTGTTTGAAACTCGACCGGTAGGAACAACGA